AAAAAGGAAGGGTAGGTCAGGATGGTCCCCTGGTTACAGGAGACAGTGATTCATAGGCCACAGAAGATGCTAAAATATGAACATTCTGACTATGCAATAAATAATTCTAATAAGGAAAAGAAATTGGGGCGAAATCTAAAGAAACCAGTTCTTGTGCAGGGAGAATCTCATGGGATAAGATGTGAAAAGAAAGCTTAGAAAAGCTGGATAGAGTTACGTAACCTACCTGTAGATAAGAGTATCATAATCCTTGAGGATTAAAATCAGAATCCATAATGATCTGAAGCTTGTGAAAAATGCTGAAGGCAAAAAAAAGCTAAGTTTGGAAAAGGAGAAAATTAGGAAAAGCCACTGCTCAGCCTGTCATAATGCTAAGCCCTGAGAAAAGCCAGAACTATGTAGTTCCATCTTCATTTTGCTTCCTTCCATCTTCTTTATAAAACAGCATGATCCTCAAACCAGAAAGGACAGATTAAGCAATGTGGAGAGAGAACTGTAAGTCAGAAGAGATGCAAAGACAGTAAAAGAACATCTATTCAATTTAAGTAAGTTTAAAATTTCCAGGTGCAAAATGGATTCTATTCCAGGGTGTTAATCCTCACAGATGTCATCACAAAACCACTGTTAAGAGAAGTTCCGGGATTTCCCTGGTGGTGCAGTGGTTAAGAATCTACCTGCCATTGCAGGGGACACGGGTACGATCCCTGGTCCTGGAAGATTCCACATGCCGCGGAGCACCTAAGCCCCTGGGCCACAACTACTGAAGCCTGAGCGCTCTAGGGCCCACATGCCACAACTACTGAGCCCACGTGCCTAGATCCTGTGCTGTGCAACAAGAGAAGCCACCACAATGAGAAGCCTGCTCACCGCAACTAGAAAAAGCCCATGCACAGCAATGAAGACCCGACGCAGCCAAGAAAAAAAGAAAGAGAAGTGCCGGGAAAGGAAGAAAAGGCAGACTCTAGAAGCTACATAATTAACATAAAATGAGTTCTTGGGAAAATTCGGAAACAGATTAGAAGCTGGATTTCTTTAGAAATGAATATGATAGGTTTAGCAAGCACTGCTCTACTGCTTACGTTTGCAGGCATTTTTTGTGAGAAATAATATGTAGCATTTTGGCTAAAACCTCAGCTCCTTTCCAAATAAAATACACAGGAAGTTCAACTTTGAGGTGGAACAGCAGTCATGGAGGCAGCTTCTACTGACAATTGTTTTCTACTGGAAATGTCCTCCTTCTAAATGCTATGGTCCATTTCCTTTCTTCTTCTATTGCCTGCCCAAACTCAAAAACTTTGCAGCTAAACTCCACTTCCAACCCACTGACACATCAATCCCATAAAACAAATGGAATAGAGTGATCAATGAAAGCCAAAATGCATTTCCATAAAGAACCAACCATATCAAAGTAATTTAACCTTTGGACAGGCTTTCTAGGATTGTCATAACTACAACAGATGTTGAATTCAGCAGTTTTTGGAAAGTTTTCTAGTGGTAACATTTTGGTATATGATAGTAAAGTACAGCATGGATGACAGCAGTGTTTAGATGAACTGTCACAGAATTTAAGATACTGTGTGTTAGCCTGAAAGTTCCTGAGATAGTGCTTGGCTTATCTTTGACTCCATGCTTTATATTATATTTAACAAAACCTACAACGTTTATTTAAATATGCAAACAGAAAACTAATTCTAGAGAGGACAGAATCAATAATTAAAATTATACCTATTCTTAAATTAAAATTCTTAAAATCTTCACACAAATGTTATTATTGTTACTAATAACATTTATCTATCACTTTATAATCATGTAGTTTTTCATATGATAAACTTGTAAGATGGTGATATACAACAGGATACACTCTAACTACACCAAATCCAAACACATAAAATTTAACATGTATACATTCAGATTTTTAAAAATTCATTAGCAAAGTGTAGGATGGAAGAGATCTAACCAGTCATGTGTATGAAAAAAGGTTTAGTGGTTTCACTTATATCATTTGATATAACAATTGGGTAATGGATCTTCTAAATAGGTAACATTAAAGTGTCTAAATTAGCAATGGTATGACATTGAGCAAATCACAAATGATAATCACTCTGAGCCTCAGTTTTCTCATTTACAAAATAGGGATAATAACCCCACAGGATTTTCTTTTTTTTTTGCGGTACGCGGGCCTCTCACTGTTGTGGCCTCTCCCATTGCGGCAGAGCACAGGCTCCGGATGCGCAGCCTCAGCGGCCATGGCTCACGGGCCCAGCCGCTCCACGGCACGTGGGATCTTCCCAGACCGGGGCACGAACCCGTGTCCCCTGCATCGGCAGGCGGACTCTCACCACTGCGCCACCAGGGAAGCCCCCCACAGGATATTTTTATAAAAAGACTCTGTAACCTCTAAAGGAATATACGAACTTTAGTAATAAGAACAGTGTTAATGAAAAACGAGATTATCTAATCACGTCTGGATTATTAAAGTGTGAGCTTCATATTTTAAGAAAGGCATTCAGGGACTTCCCTGGTTGTGCCGTGGTTAAGAATCTGCCTGCCATTGCAGGGGACACGGGTTTGAGCCCTGGTCCGGGGAGATCCCACATGCCGTGGAGCAACTAAGCCTGTGTGCCACAACTACTGAGGCTGTGCACCACAACTACTGAAGCCCGCACACCTAGAGCCTGTGCTCCGCAACGAGAAGCCACCGCAATGAGAAGTATGCGCATCTAAACGAAGAGTAGCCCCGGTCACAACTAGAAGAAGCCCGCATGCAGCCATGAAGACCCAACGCAGCCAAAAATAAACATATAAAATTTAAAAAAAAAGGCATTCATTGTCATGCCAAAATATGTGTAGAGGAGAAGTGGGCTACAGAGAGAACTAGAAACCATGTTAGGTGTGAAAAGGTTAAAAGGACTAAGTTTGTTTCATTGAGGTCTAGTAGTTACTAGACAAGCGGAAACTGCCTTCACATATTTGACAAGAAGTATAAATGGGAAAAAGACTTTGGTTTAGCCAAGAGAAAAAATTCTTTAACTATTATAAGTTCCCTAAAGAGAGCTCCCTACTTAGGAAAGTATTAAGTTCCCCAAACAGCTCTTCATTACCCACACAGAGAGTTCTGGAAAATAAGGTATTTATTTAGAAAGACTTTCTGAATTGTGTGTATACATATGTATGTATATGTATGTGTATATATGTGTGTGTATATATATATATTTGTGAGTATCACAAATGAGAAATTGGAGGTAAGAAAAGTATTGGTTAGGTGAAATTTTTTAAAGTTTGTGTGTGTGAAGGGAGGGAGCAGTGTGTGATCCTTGGGAAAATAAGGATCAGTCAAGAGCTGAATTTCCAGAGTTCAGAGGTAAAGACAGAAGAGAAGGACTGATCATAGAGTGGTGAGGGGAATCTTAACACTGAACTGAAGGCCACAGTTCAACCAAGAGGTGAGATAATTCATGTGGAAACGAATCTAATTAAGGTCTCCAGAAGTCCAGATTTAACACAAAGCAGATCTAGATCCAGGCTTTGCAGACCTCCAGAAATAATAATCAGACACTAACATTACTCTCTCAGCCATGAGTTTTCATTCAACAAACATTTATCGAATATCTACTCTATTATTTTCTCTGGGGCTTGATGCTATAACGTTTTACAGCAGCTTCCTAGAAGTCTTGCTGCTCTGCTTGTTTTGTATTTCTTCAACGGATCCCTGGAGTTTGGCTATTCGGAACAAAGCAGTGATAGCTTTTGATCGTTTAGTGCCAATAAAATATTTTTATGCGAGTATAAGTTCCTCTCCAGGCCTGAAGAGGAACTTGCACTAAGACCAAAGTATTTTGCTGCCTATGCAGCAAATCCCCATATGGTTATATGTCTACTGAAAGTCCTAAGGTTTCTGATGTTCATAATTTTCCAAACTAAAAGATTTCTAAATTTTCTAAAAGTTATTTAAAAACATACAGCCAGTTTTTACTCCATTTGATTACACAGCTCACTTTTGACAGTGAAGATCAGTCTCATCTTTTTCTGAAAGATGGCTCCTATCTTAAGGGTTTATATCAAAGACATAAAACTCCCCCCAAAAGAAGACTAAAATTATCCATGCTCTGAAACATGATTTTAATTGACAAATTCTTCATAACCCAACTCTGAGCTTTATTTTTAGAAAGTATCTTTTTAGGCATTAAAATAATCATTTGCTTTGTTTCTTAATTTTAGAAAAAAGATTATTTTTAGGAAATGAAGTAAATGCCTCATTATCCTGAAACTAAATAATATAGATATGGGTATAGTCATGGTAATAAACATTTCCAACCCAACTGACCAAGCATACATCTTTCTCCCTCACTATTTTCACAAACCAGAGATATTTGTTAAAGTTTGTTTTGAGGTTGTTTTATAAATAAACATTTGATTTTTCAAAACAAGAATGCAAATTTGAAATTTACTTATTTTTTAGCTATGTGAAATGTATGATTTAAGAAAAAATAAGACTATTTTGCTTCTTCTTCCTCCTTACTATTTATTCTTATACTGGGGAAAATACAGAAACTTTTTGCCTCCAATTTTCAAATTATGCTTCAATTTAGAAAGACTTAACATAAGACTGCATCCTTTCCAGAACTACAAAAGATGATACTCCTGTGGAGGAAAGCATTTCAAAAGGCCTATATGCTGATGAATTTAAAGAGCTATATGCTTACCATCAGTTCACTAAGGGGCCTTAGTTTAAAAATCATTTTTGAAATATACTTATTTAAGTGTTCATCCTTCGCTATGATTTATTATAGTTCAGTTGCAAAAGAATGCCAGAGATGGTCTTGACAGAACCAAATCTCAATCAGTGTAGAAGAAAGGAAAGCAGGAAGGAACGAGGGAAGGAAGATCATATGAACACAATCTTAAATATAAATTAGAAACTACAATTCCTATTTCACCACATCCAGGTTTATACTGAACTAGAACATTTTACTGAAAAAAAATTAGTTCTATTAAAAATCACACATATTTGTGAAGCACTTTATTTTAGTAGTATTGTCTAGAATGTATTTTTAAAGAGCTAGAATAACTTAGAAGTAGGAGAAAGTGAATAACACCAATCTTACAATGTCAAAAGTCTACCAATTTGACACTTGTTACTCAATCTACTCCAAACCCAGACTGTGCTTTCTGCTTAAATGTGCTGTTTTGATTTAAAAGACAGAAGAAAAAAATAATATGATCATTTAAAATCAAAAGCTAGTTTGGAAATAAGACCAGATACTGAGAAGGAAATTGGGAGGTAAATGACCAGAGACTCTGAGTAAACAGCAGCCTGACAGAGCACTTTCTTCTCCTTTGAAATGGGAAAATTCAGGCCTGTCAGGGATCCTGTAGGGTAATCACACAGGTAGTGCACATTAAGATCTAGTCAAGACTGCCCCCTCTAATTGTGGTTAAGTTACACAGAGATAGAAACAATTTCTTGTTTGTCCAAAGAAAGAAAAAGAAACTGGAGAGAGAGGTGAGTACAAACTATCAGAATAAGACTCCAGCTAGTCAGGAATTAAAACCTGAAAGCATGTTCTAAAACTAAGGTTGCAGGGCTGTAGGTATTTATTTGGAAATTATGTAAGATCTTTGCTTACTTTAGTAATAAGCTTCATTCCAATCACCTACCATTTAAAATACAGGTGAGGTTTTGCAGCATTGACTACACTAAGACTCAAGAAATGTCATTCTTATTTGTGACTCTGGGACTGGGGAAGGCCACTGTTAGGTTAATTAGTGAATGTTAATAGTTTAGATGTAAAAACAAAAAACAAACCAAAAAAACCCATACCTGGTAGCAAATCATACCCTAAGTGAGGGATGAGGGAATAGGGCATATATATATCAGTAATCCATAATCACAAACTTTATAAAAACATATTTTAATAGAGAAAACATAAGTGCAACAATGGTATGTAGCCCAACACTCAGCTTAAGGCCAATAAGAAGCCTTCCTACTTTGTTGATGAAGTCATAACCCAGGGCCTCCTTTTACCTTAAGCTGAATACTCAATTTATAGATGTAGTAAAGGAAAAAAATGAATGGTTTCAGGGTGTCAGTCTTCTTGCAAATGCCAACATATAAAACGACAATGTTTAAAAACATCCCAGTAATGTTCCAGATCACTATGTTCTGCTCCGTAGACACATTATTTCAGTACGCAAGACTGATAACAGAGTATAAACGCTAGTATAGTCCTTGGGAAGAGATCTCACCATATTAGGAAACATCACTAGGCTACAAAAGTTGATTGCAGTCAGCATTCCTGCATTTCTTCTTGGAGATGATGATGGTATTATCATCTTTAAATCCTTGTGGAGCTTTCCCTCTTTTTCATTATGCTGAAAACAACAACCTCCTTGATTGAAAAAAAAATCAGCAGATATGCTATCATTTTACATAGTGTAGCATATAGTAGCTCTTCAAAGATGAACCTAAAATCACCCCTTTAGTGTGGGTGTAGTATATCCTGGTGCCATTACTATAAGCATTTTTTTCATTCTGTAACATTAGAGATATCACCAGTCTAGGTGTCATGCATGTTGATCCTTAAATGCTCTTTGGCACTGCAGAAAAATGCTGGGTAAATTTAATGCCACCTGTTTTACTGTTTATTTTGGTTCTGACATTTGTACTTTAAGTCTACATTAAGAGTACCTGCAAGGTTACAATTTCCCCCCACTAAAGTTACTCCAAGGTCATTGGGCCACATTTAACACAAGGCTGTTTTAACAACTTACAGGATCTGTAATAACAGTTGCCAGCAGATACACAATCTGAAAGTCTTCAATTCATTACTTGCACTGATATTCACAGTTGAAAGCCCTTGACTTGTGAGAACTACTAAAATAAACTGTAAGACACAACAAAGTTTAGAGAAGAGACATATTCTGAATCTTGAAGTTTTTTTCTCCTTGAATTACATATACAAAAGCATATTCACATGGTGAGGGCTAGGAAAACATAAAACTGTGGTTAGAATGTGATTATGGGCAATCACAATCCTTCTGAGCCTTGTTTATTAATAGCGTTATTATTATTTGGTCTTTAAAAGTGGATTGTTGAAGACTGTATGTCTCATAGCTCTGAAATTTCATGATTCTAAAACGTCTTTTTCTTATTATCCTTTCCTTAGGTTTTCCAAAAGAGTAAGACATGGGATGGATATGCTTAGTAGTGGAAGTGAAAATTGATGAGAAAAAGCTATGAAAATATTTGTTCAGATAAAAGCATGACCAGGGGTGAAGTGGGCACCTGTACTGTAACCCTGCTGCATTTAAACAGGGTCTTAATTTCTTTTTTTCAAAAAAAACCTTTAGAGAAAGTCACAGAGAGATGATCTGAGATTTTTTCACCTGCCACATTCACTAAGTGGAGGATTTAAATGAAAATTACTATATATAAACGAATGTACATGCACACACACAACACTCAACCTCACTCCCAGACACAGAGCCAGGCTTATTTATTTCCTTTGCTAAGTAAGCTTTCTCTTAGGTGATGTGCTAATCAAATGTCATGAAGACAGAAGGACTATTATTACCACTTAAGAACTATTCAGACAGTTGCTTTAAACGTTTTTACCCGAGTCTAGATGCAGCTGTTACCACACAGCCCCAACAAGGACAGGCCAAAATTCTCACAGCCACAGTGGGTTATTTATTCAATTTTAACATTAAGATAATTAAAGAACAGTCCTACTGGGCCACCAAATTGTTCACTTTAAAGTAGTTAATTGTATGTTATGTGAATTTCACCAAAAAAAAAAAAAAAAGGTACTGGGTGCTTTAAAGGCTTTATAAATTATATGGAGGGGAAAAAAAACTTTTGGGGTGTTACACAATAGTGGGTCTTAGGACCAAACTGGAGCTGGAACAACAAAACTGTTCTAAGCACAGTATGTTCTTAGGGGTTGGGTCGGAGCTTCCAGGAACCTCAAAAATAACCATAAAATGTGAGGCAGGCTAAGAACAAAGTCAAGTCAATAGCTGCCTTATGAAGGCTGGTGTGAAGGAAGCTGGAGTAAATAGATTGGTTCTCAAGTACAATAATTACCAGCTGGTTCATGGAACTTCTAGGTACTTCTGTCCAATTCTCAAGCAGCTTATATTACTTAAGCTTGCCTTCAATTCTAGGTACCTGATAGGTATAAACTAGATTTTTATATAACTCAAACCCAGGGTATACTCTCCAAAGCGCCAGAACAGAGTAGATACACCTTAATTAATCTTGAATTCCCAAGAGTGATTCTTTAGAAAAAGCTCCTGGTTAAAGAAGCTGTGGTCTAATGTGCCTAGCAATACAAGGTTGCTAAGACTAATAAATCACAGGGCAGTAAGGAGATCCAAGGAGCAGCGGCTTCTCAATCCATCAACATGGTTCCAGCATTCTTAAGCAATAACTTATACTTTGAAGCATTATCATTTTTAAATGTCACAGGTGATATCTTAGCTGACATATACGGAACAAGTCCAGTGAATTTAAAAATATTTTAGAAGGGCTTCAGGCAGGATTTTAATTTAGTCAGGAAATTAAGGATGCTTTCAAACTAGGCATGTTTGCTATTAATTGAATGAGAAAAAATATATATTATATATTTATATCTCCATCTCTGAGTTCAATAACTTGTAGGTTTGTGTTTATTTACAAAGCACATTCTCTTTTGGGGAAAGTTGTCAAAATATTTTTATAACCTGTTATAATAAAATTCTTAAGTTCTCTCTACTTTCACCAATCTACTGCTTTTAATACCAACTTGTCATATAATTAAAGCAGAATGACCTAGTCCAACTAAGAAGAGATACTTTCCTTATGTAGGTGGAAAGCTGATTCTTTCCAGTTTGCATTTAAGCTTGGGAAAAACTAGTTCACACCTGTAATATGGGCTCCTCAAGCTAGCAGACTCATCATATGGCACACCTACCCCCTCTGTCTAAACCTTTCATGTCATAAGTAACACACTCACTGGGCATACGTACACCTGTCCAATCTCATCTCTGGCTTTTCCCAGGCATTCCCTTGCACTCTGCGTTCACATCCTCCTACTGTGCTTTGAGGAAGCAATGTTTACTCCACTGTGGGACGTTTTCCTTTGAATCACCTTCAACTTATAGGAAACGTGATCCAGGTTCCCGCAGGCAATACCATGCTTTCTGCAATTCTCTCTCACACAGTCTGACTTCCTACTCTCAAAAAAGGACTGGAGGGAAAGCAGGGAGAGAAAAGACCACAGGGGTAACGAAAGCTTGCCTTCTTTCCAACCTCTAGCCCTAATGTTAGACATCTATCTACCATCCTTTCTCTGGTTCTCACTCATCATTTAGCACTGAGTGGTTATCATACTGACCACAGTCTCCTAATCTGTCCTTCCCTTAACAATACTATACCTGTTCTTTGTCCTCATCAAAACCTGAAATCAGTGAACTCCCTTCAACACACTCGCACCACTGGATATTTCCTGCCTTACTGGACTCTTCCTGATCACAAGGTTATATCAGTTTTGTCTTCTTAAATATCTTTGTGTCCTTTCCTTCTTCACCCTCTAACCAAACTCTCATATTTGCTTTGTCCACTCCTGATGCTTTGTGTTGAATCACTGGAACATACAAAACCATATATATCTGGACACTAAAATTTTAAATTTGATTCTTATCTTGACTCAGCAATTCTTAAATTTCTTTCCGATGCACTTCTAGGCTTATTCTCACAGACTTATTTAATTTCTTTCTTTCTTTTTTTTTAATAGGTTCCCAACTCCACTCTTTCACCCCCATTTTCTCACACAATATGCATTCAATAATTACTGATATGAGCACCTTCATCTATTCTCATTTTCTCTAATCTCACATTCTCTCTCCTAGATTTTCTGATTGTTTTTACAAGTAGCAAAGGAAGATATATCCCATCTCTTTTAAGTCAAACCCATAACCTTACTGCGTCTCAGGAGTTTATCTCCTCCCAGCACCTACAGAAATGTGTTACTCTACTGGTTAGCCTATCTTCTCTTCCGCACTATCTATGGTGTCCTCTCAATTGACTCTATGTGCTCTGCCTTTAAATATTTAGCTATCTCCCTTATCTTAAAGCAATGCCTTCTAAGATCTACCACCCATCTAATTAGCATCTTGTTTTTCTCTTCCCCTTTGTTGCCAAAGGCCTTCAGTCGATGACTGCTGTATCCATATCCTTGACATTTCCTCATGAATCCTAGAAATCTGCTTTCCATCTGTATCTTTTTATGAAAGTAACATTTTTTTTTTTTTTTTTTGCGGTACGCGGGTCCCTCACTGCTGTGGCCTCTCCGATTGTGGAGCACAAGCTCCGGACGCACAGGCTCAGCAGCCATGGCTCACGGGCCTAGCCGCTACGCGGCACGTGGGATCTTCCCAGACCGGGGCACGAACCCGTGTCCCCTGCATTGGCAGGCGGACTCTCAACCACTGCGCCACCAGGGAAGCCCCTGAAAGTAACATTTTTAAAGGTCATTAGAGACTTGGCCAAACCCAAAGCCCTTTTCCTAGATCTCATTCTTTCTGACTTCTAATTCATAATTTCTTCTCCAATCCAACTAGTTATTACTATTCCAGCCCAGGCCATCTTATTTGCAATGACATACTGGAACTGCTTTCTAACTGGTCCTAATTTCAAGCAAATGTATTACAGAATTAATCTTCTTAAAATGCTACAATCAAGTTACATCTTTGCCAAAGAACGTGTAGTTCTCTTAACACTGACCACATCCACATCAAGACTAAACTATTCTTCCTAGTTTTCAAGGCTTTTGCACACTTATCCCACCTTCCTATATGACCTGTAATACCTCAGACGAGTCCATCTCCTTACTATCCTTCCCTCCTGACCCTTAGCAGACCATGCTAATTTCCATTCCCGATTCTTTGTTCAATATGTTGCCTTTGTTCAATATGTTGCCTTTACTGTATTTTCCACTTCCATCATTTAATTTCAAGCCATCCTTCAAAAGCAAAAAGCCCCACACTTTTTATGAAGGTTTTCCCTGAATCTGCTCACAGTAACTTCTCTAACTCCTATTTTTACTTTTGTATCAGCAAAGTGTCTGATACACTACAAACATTTCTAAACATTTCATGTGTGAATACCTGTACATACTACTACCATTTATTCAGCACAAGGAGACAACGTAGTAGATATTCAAATAAAAAGACTGAGAGAAGACACATAGCACTAATGGCAGAAGGACTAGCTTGAAACCAGGTAATTGACTTGGTTATATTTTGTAGAAAAAGACATATATATCATCATTTTGTGATATTACCTCTTTAAAAGAAAAAAACATTTTTAAGTTATTGTGCTCTCAATTGTATGATATACAACTCTTAAGCAAATATGGGAAAGCTTCATGATCAAATAAACAAAAGAATCTAAAACCTTACAACTCAATATAGGATAAAATGTCCCCCCGTTTTTATATATGCATAAATAACATGGTGGTCTTCATTTCGTAAGATTTCAATGCACCTGCAATTCGTTCCTTTCTCTTGGCTTTCTGAGGTAAGGCCTCTGTGGGAGTAGCTCCCTATGTACCTGTATCACAGCAGAGGAGAGCTCTGTCAGTCTTGAAGGTGCTTGGAATACTGTACAAATAGGAGCCATGTCAGTAAAAATGTGCACACAATGCATTAAAGTTTTCTTTCTCTCTCTTTTTTTTTTTTTGGCGGTACGCGGGCCTCTCACTGTTGTGGCCTCTCCTGTTGCGGAGCACAGGCTCTGGACGCGCAGGCTCAGCGGCCATGGCGCACGGGCCTAGCCGCTCCGCGGCATGTGGGATCTTCCCGGACCGGGGCACAAACCCGTGTCCCCTGCATCGGCAGGCAG